GGCGCCCACGGGTGGGCGGTTCCGCTGCGGCCCTCGGTGGGCACCCCCGTGAGGCCACGAGACGCGTGAGGGGTGTGCCGAGACGGGCGTGACGCCCGCACGTGGGCTGCGCCGGTGGGGCCTTCGGTGGAGCTGCCAGAGGAGGCCACGGAACGCGTGGGGAGGGGCGTGCCGAAGTGGGGGCGCGGAGAGCAGAGGCAGGGGTGGGCAGAGGGAGGAGATGGACGGGGAGGAGGCAGGGAGGAAGGAGATGCGGGGCGAGACGCAGTGAGCACGAGGACCCAGTACCACAGGCATGGCTGGGAAATATCTGACAGCGCGGAACACACTTTCTCACGTTCCTGACGTTCCCATCTGCGCATTCACCGAACAGGAGGCAGCGAATTGTGGCAAAGCGCACGCCACACGTTCCCATGTTTGGTGAGTCCACTGAAAACGACCACGCCGTCACGGAGGACACCCTTAGCCTAAGCGCCGTTAGCACGCCTGTCCGATGAGGAGAATGAAGAGATAGGGAGAAAATATGATGTGGAGGAAGATTCAGAGATTCACGGAACTCATCATGTCGCGACTATTGAGAGCGCAAGCTCATACCCTACAGCTCAACCCAGGCTCCGACACCATGTGCATCCAACCTAACTCGGCCAAACTCGGCCAGACGACGCATCCAACCTTACTCTGCCAGGCAGCTCAAGCTCCTGGGAACTGCCCCCAATAATGCAAGCTCAAAGGGAGGGAAGAGGATGAGGGGGGAAGGGGAACACGCTGAGGATGAGACGGAATCTCAGGGTACGAAGGAACAGTAAGGTGGGTGAGGGGAATCAGGAGGCGTGGGAACTCAATGGGGATGTACCCGTTCAACTAGGCCACCCGCGCGACGACCACCAACGCAATCCTCCTCCTCCTCCTCCTCCTCCTCCGCCCCCTCCTCGTCCGAGCCGCTGCCGCGGCCCGAAAACACACACATACACTTGATGCGGCTACCGAAACGTTCTGCGACACACACGCACACACACACACACTTCAGTGCAGCGGAATGGTGCGGTCTCGTCCGAGGGGCTCCGCCTGGCCGTGCCAGAGAGGGGGGGAGCGCGCGCCGCCGCCGGGCGGCGGCTCCTCGCCGTGGCTGCCGGCACGCTGGATGGGAGGCATACGGAGACAGGCGGCGCCGCCCCTCCCACCGCAGGCCATAGTTAGAGCGGTGGCCTGCAGTCCGGTATACATCACGGGCGCCGTGCGCGCCCGCGAGGCGCCAACAGAAGTTAGAAGCGTTGGCCTGCTCCTCTTGCCTGGTACTTCTCGGCGTCCGTATGAAAGAGGTCACAGTCTGTACAGTCACCCACCACACTGGGAGGTCTCCTTCGGCTGGACGAGGGCTTCTACCAAGAGTTGCGGAGTGAGCATATTTGTTCATCGACGTCGTTTCCCACTGAGTTTTCTTCGACGAGTATATTGTCCTCTTGCGAAGTTGGCTGGACGATGTGGCGCGGTCCGACTCAAATCGGGCACGCTAGATCTGCTGCTGATGGTCCTCTACTTCCCCGTCAGATCCTCGACCAGAGGCGCACAGGCGGGATATCGCACGACTGTGCAAGCCATGATTTCCTGGGCACGCAATACCATCGAGAGTGTGGGCGGACGATGCACCCCGATTATTGGAGTGGATCTCAACGATAAGCTCGGGCACTCGAAGGACGACGTTGACGACGGGGCCGTGATTGCAGATCTAGACTCCGACGGCGAAGAGCCTGACCTCGCGGTGGGTAGACACGAAACGGAGGAAGACGGACTAGCGGGGAGGCTCTGGCACCAATTCTTGTCGGACACGTTCATGATGGCGGCCAACACTTTTTGTCCCGCAGGCCCTACATACCACGGGGCCCATTAACACACTTCGCGTATTGATTTTTTACACGTACCACAGGAACTTAGACGGCACATTCGCACTTGCAAGGTGCTCCGGGCACCAGGTAGACGACTCCAGCCGACCAATACTCTTGAAGATCGGGATCACCGACCGCTCTATATTGAGTTCGACTACTCCTTCGAGGCACACGCGGCCAAACGACAGACATGGGATTACGATCGGGTGATGGGCATGTTGAGGGGAGATGAGTATTGTAAGAGCTCAGTGGAAAAGATCCAGCAAATTATATTGGACATCGAGGAGCAGGAGTGGCAGAGGCTCTGCACCAAACCTACCACTGACGAGTTGTGGAACTCCGTAGCACACCTCATCACCACGACGGCGAGGGAGGCATTCGAGAGACCTTCGACTACGGAGCTGGCCAAGACAACGCTTGAGAAGCAGCGGAGCGAGCTATTGATACAACGGAAATCTCTACGGGGACGACTGATAGGCAAAGACCACCCCGATTGGGCTGACCTTGAGCTGCAATTGGCTCGGCTGACCTTCAGAATACGCCGGCTGTCCAGAGAGGTGACGATCGAGAGAAACGCGACACTCACGGAGGAGCTGAACAGGGCGTGGGAGGCACACGACCACCACGCGGTCCACAGGCTGGCGAGGAGGCTGGCGAGGCGTGGGCGGGGCCCGAGACAGCGACGTTACTTCGCGGCGAGGGACGAGAACTGCGAGGCTGAAGGTGTCGCGAACTTTCTCGGGACCCCCGCGAGGGCGGGGGGGCTCGGGGCCCACGACTGCGGCCATCCTGCCGGGCTGGAGGAGCGTTTCGGACCGAGAACACCTGGGTGACGAACGAGACCGTACCGACGAGCAGCGGTACAACGCCATGCAGTTCAGCGGCCTCCAGCAGGCGCGCACCGACCTGATGGGCATAGTCAAGGAACTTCGGCGATCACCGAAACGACGAGCTACCCCCATGTGGTTTATGCCCTCGGAGTTATGGCTTCTCGTTCTGGACACGGAGCAGTGGGCGAAATTCGACAAGGGTGGCATCGGATCCGACATGACACCTGCGACGGCCACGGGTTTCTTTGAGCGCTTCGAGGGTATCATCGCGAGCTTCCGACGCGCGATGAGCACTCCAGTACTCTTCGGTATCTCTCACTGCTTGGGCCTGGACAAGAGGAGCGGCAAAGTCGGGCCAGTTGGACAGCGTTGGATACATTTGTTTTGTCCGATCGGCAAGTCATGGAACGCTTATCTGTGGCACCGCGGACGCAAAGTACGAGAGCACCTCCCTTATTACTGTCATGGGTTTGCCAGACACCGACGACGGGAGGATGCAATCGCAGTTCAAACTTGTTTGTCTTTTCGGCTACAGCGACAGGGCCTGTCTCACGCTATTGTGAACGAGGACGCCACGAGTGATATCGCCAGTGTAAAAAAAGATACCATCCTCGACACGATCGGGGACCTCTACGATCCCTCGGACCTTCGGTTCCAGCACGCGCGCACTCTCCAGGGGGCCCTTCAGATCGAGACACCGACGGGAGCCATCGCATTACGACCGACGACGGGAGAGATGATGGGGCACCTCAACCCTGCCAGGGCGTTCCCGTACTACTACCTTAAGGGTGTGCTACCTTTCCTCGAGTACCGATCGATGACGAGCTCGTACCAGTATGCCGAAGCGACCGAGGCGGACGGTCTATGCACCGATGTAGGCATCTCTATCTACGCTGACGACATCACGAAGAGCGTCATTCCAGGCTGGGGACCCCCACCACATAGCGGAGGCGGCGAGGCTATTCACCTTCTCGCCCTGGCCGAAAGCAGCAGTAGACACCTAGCGGAGAACCTAGACGAGATAGGCGTTTCACTGAACCCTGAAAAGCGAGCCACGCTTGCACGACTATTTGGACCAGGCAGTGTCAAACACCGGCGACTTCTGTTCGGAGGCAGCATTCCGTACCCAGGGCAGCGGGCCAGGTTCCTGAGAATTCTTGGAGGTTGGTTGCCGAGTTCGGGGTCCTTGCAGGTGGACAAAACTAAGAGGCTCCAGGCGGGCCGAACTGGTCCAGGTCTGATATCTAACTTCTTGGTACACAATGCGTCTACGAGTGTTAAGCGTATGAGTATTATTGCTGTTGTGCAGTCGGCCCTCTTGTCGGGGATGGAGGGGCGTATACCCGATAACACGTACACGACCGAGTGCGACAAGATCATGATGCGAGCGATGCGACGCGGGCTGGGCAACAGAGGTCTCCACGTACATGCCGAGGACGAGCTCCGACGTTGGTCGGCGCGGGAGCTGCGGACACACTGGCGAATACTACCGACGTCGGACGAGTTGAGACGTCGACGTATCAAGTGGTACCAGAGTTGGGCCAAGTACCCTTCTAGCCACCGACAGGTTCGCGCCTGCATCTTGGGGTCCTTGGGGGGCGGGGACTCTTTGACCCAAGATGGACAACTACATCCTGAAGCAAATCCATGGGCTCAGCAAGTTTTTGTTTCAGACTTGGCTTTCGCGTGCGAAAGTTCGGAGGAGTTCAGAGACCTGGTGCCCGAGGATTTCCCCCTCCCCCGCCTCTTCTATAGCAACGACTACGACAACTGGACCGACATAGATTGCACGATTATGCGAGCGAGTTGTTGGACCTTATCGATACCTCTACCGACGGGAGGAGATTCATAGGGTTTAGCGGGATACACGAGGACGAGGCGGACGATATACCGAGGCGATTTCACTGCAGACTCTTGAACGACGACGGAGGGCGATGTGGCGAGTCCATTCCGACGATGCAAGCCCTCCTTCTGCGCGCGGGGCGAGTGCACCGAGTACGCAACGAGGCCTCGATTCTCACGATCACAAACCAGTGCTTCAGATGCTTACAGGTGCTCAGTACACGTGAAAGCGCTCAGAGGCATGTGATGCGTTCATATCAGCGCAATATATGTTATCGTGGTCGTAGCACTTACATGTCCCACGAGGTGATCGAGCCGAACGATCTTTCTTGCCCGATCTGTAGCTACACGGCTCAAGATTTGGTGGAACTGCAACTTCATATACGATCACACTGCGTTTTAGCAGACTCACAGATTGTGGACTACCGAGCGCGACCTCGACGGCATGGCGCTCGCGGGTGGATTCAACATGGACCTCGGCACGCTCCTGAAGCGGCACCAGCCCGAGGGCGCGGCCGCGGGCGGGGAAGGCAGGGTGCAGCGACGCTGAGTGGGAGAGGCAGCCGAGGACGCGGACGACTGCCTGGCTGCAGTAGAAGGAGCGCTCAAAGCGCGAGACATCCAATCAGTCCTCAACATCTTGCTCAAGATGGCTTGCCAGCACGCGCAGCTTCTCAGGGACATGGCGGCATCGGAGTGGATCAGCGTCGCGACGCCGACGGAGACGGACATCGTGAAGGTGGGAAAGGACACGGGCAGGCAGTACGCGCAGGTGGCAGCGATACAGGCGGCAACGACAGACCTGGGCCCTCCTCATTTGTACATCGCGCGCGGCGCGTTCAGATCCCTCTCGGAGTCAGCGGAGATCCAGCAGAAAGAGGCAGCATCGCACCAGTTGGTGCACACCTTCTACACCAAGTACGTATCAGGAGCGAACGCGATGGAACTTGGCTTGATGATCAGACACTTCCGACTGCGCAAGTGCAACAACGAGGAGTACACGCGGATCCAGTTCGCGATCTCGGACGGCCTGGCCATTCCCAAGGTGGGCACTGGGAAGGGGGTGTCGATGAGCAAGTTGGAGATCGAGCAGGCGGTGGTGAACTTCCTAGTTGCGGTGGGCGGTCGCATGAAGCTCGGAGCAGCCCCTCAGGGGCACCTGGAACAGCTGGCACAGAAGCTTCTCGACAAGGGCAAGAAGACCGACAAGGGCGACAAGAAACGTTAGGGACGCAACACACATCGCACTGGGAAGATCGATTGGCAGATTTGCGCGAACGAGTCTGGCTGAAGGAGCAAGGACAGCGTGAGACCAATCCTGGGAATTCATGACAATTTTTGACTTGGGGCTTGCAACGGCTACAACCTTCTTATTCTCCACGGGCCGACGTCTACACATATCAGTCTTTTGTTCCCGCTCACGCTGGCACAAGATGATGGTCAGTTGAGATGGATCTGACACCACAGGCGGCAGCTTGTTGGCTCAGGAACCACATGCCAGAAGCAGACGCGTGCCTGTCATTCAGTTCCAAAGACCACTCTACCTTACATATCTTTCGGACGCCCTGGGAGCCACTACTGGGAAGAACCGATGCAGCTCCTGTTACACACATGCATGTTCAAAGCTACCCGGTGCGACCAGTAATAAGCCAAGCTTCTCATCTCTTTTTTTCCGGAGGTTGGACCGTGAGTGTGACATAGCTCACGGCTGTTGCCATAGCTTGCCGCCAGAGGCCCCTGACCCCTGGTCTTTGTGGAGAGGCTCCTCAGGCCTCCTGAGGTTCGATGCCGCCTGCCACTCGGGCCGTCGCCCCCACCGCCGCTGCGCTCGTGTGCTGTTCCAGGGGTTGGCCCTGTGGGCCTGGGTCGGCCCTTGGGGTCGGCTACGGTGGGGAGCGACGGCGGCCCGAGGATGGGGTGGGTGGGTGGGGATCGCACGGAAGGACCTGCGCGCAGACAGAGGGTACTTCTGTAGCTCGCTGTGCCATCGCACGTCACGTGCAGGGCCGCGCCCACCCCACCCTCCGGCACTCGTGATTCTTGATTGCCCAGGTCCAGGCTCGGCAGGCCTCAGCCTGCTCAGGCTGGAGTCTTCTTTCCAGCGTGACGCGCTTGGGTCAGACTGTCGGCTGGCTGTGACGAGCATCTCCAGCGGCTTCGGCCGCCGTGAAGGCGGTGGGGGCGATGTGCACCTCGCGCATAGCCCCCACCCACACCAACCACTAAACCCAGCTATATACATCTTCTGCGTACCCTCTCGGCGAGCACGGTTTGGACGACTCCTCCGACGTGCACTACAGCTGGGACGACACAGGCGCCCTCCCGTGCTTGTACGAGGCCGCGCTGCCTGAGCGCTGCCGCTCTTCTCCTTCCTCGTCCTCGCCCTCCGCCCTGGTCCTCCCCTCCGTCCACTCACCTTTTTATGTTTTTCGTTTTCGGGCCCCCTGGACCCCCTCCGTGGAGTTGAGAAGTTAGGTTGATTGCTTTCGATTCAAATCGGGGGTCCGAGGCGACCGAACAGGGCAGGTGTGAGTGCCTCGGAGGCCAGCCTGGTGCAAGCAGCACCGCTGGCCGCGGCCTCTTGAGGCCCGTGGGGCATCACCCCCTGCCCAGGGACTGAGAGCAAGTTGCGACGGTTTCGAGGGCGAAGTCCCCCAGAGGCTGCACGGTGCGTGTAACCCCCACCTCGGATCGGCACGGCACGATGCGACTGTAAGAGGTTGACGTCGAGTCGAGTGAAGGGCTCGATGCGCCAGAGGTCAGACTGAGACCACACGCAAGGCCGGGTCTTCTTCTTCTTCTTGTCCTTCCTCCTCGTCCTCCTCCTCCTCCTCCTCCTCCCCGTCCTCCTCCTCCTCCTCCTCCTCCTCCGCCTCCTCCTCCTCCTGCCTCCTCCTCCTCCTGCTCTTCCTCCTTCCTCCTCCACCTAGTCCTCCCCTCTCCCTCCTCCTCCTCTCCTCCTCCTCCTCCTCCCTCCTGCCTCCTCCTCCTCCTCCTCCATCCTCCTCCTCCCTCCTCCTCCTGCCTCCTCCTCCTCCTGCCTCCTCCTCCTCCTCCTCCTCCTCCCCCTCGTCCTGCATCCCTTCCTCCTCCTCCTCCTCCTCCTCCTCCTCCTCCATCTCCCCTCCGGGCTGGTCGCCCCCGCCGCAGCCCGCCCAAATGCGTCCGCCAGCGAGCTCGGACGTGGCACCGCCGGCGGGAGCCGAAGGCCACGGAATGCACACAGCCTCCGCTCGCGTCGCTGGCGGGCCGACGCGCTGGCCTGGCGTCTCCGGAGCGGCGTGCGAGCCCCAGGTGGGCGAAGCGGCAGGTCAGCTGCCAACTTCGACGAGGCTCGATTTCCTGATGGCATGGGTGTGCTACGCAGGCTGCCGCTTCTGCTCCTCCTCCTCATCCTCCTTCTCCCCATCCCCCCTCGCCCTCCTCTTCCTGCTCCCTCCGAGGAGGCTTCACCAAAAAGCTCGGACGGGTGTAGGCGAATTAGCCGTGCCTCAGCAACAGGTAGAGGGCACAAATCATCATCCTTAACATCATTTCGTAGATGAACATCGTCATCATCTTTATCACCAGTCGTCATTATCATCATCAGCAGCATCAGCATCAGCATCATCACCACCACCACCACCATCATCATCATCACCATCGTCATCATCATCATCATCATCATCAGCAGCAGCAGCAGCAGTATCATCATCAACGTCACCACCATTATCATCAGCATCACCATCATGATCAACCGTATCATCATTACAATCAGCATCGTCGTCGTCATCAATATCATCATCACCATTCTATCCATCATCAACACCATCGCCGACATCATCACCATCACCAGCACCGTCACCATCACCATCATGACCATCACCATCACCATCACCACCATCATCATCATCATCATCATCATCATCATCATCATCATCATCATCAACAGCATCATCAACATCATCACCGTCATCATCACCGTCAGCATCACCATCAACAGCAACACCATGATCATCACCATGATCACCACCACCATCATCATCTGCATCATCATCATCGTCGTCGTCATCGTCATCGCCGTCGCCATCATCATCATCATCATCATCATCATCATCATCATCATCATCATCATCATCATCATCAGCATCAGCATCATCATCATCATCATCATCATCATCATCATCATCAACATCAACATCAACATCATCATCAGCAGCATCAGCATCATCATGACCATGACCATGACCATGAACATGACCATCATCATCATCATCAGCATCATCATCATCAGCAGCATCATCATCATCATCGTCACCATCAACACCATCACCATCAACAATGCCATCATCACCACCATCACCATCACTGTCACCGTCGTCGTCACCATCACCACCACCACCATCATCTTCTCCCGAGGAAGAATCATTGAACTGGAGACCGCCGCTGACAACGACTACGACCGTCACCGCGTCTAACTCGGTCTGCACGCCGGCGCGGTCGGTGGCTAGCTCCGCTGCGGACTTGTCCAAGTTCTGGGCGCCCGTATCCGAACCCCGCCGCGCCCTCCACCGCCTCGTCGTCCTCCTCGTTATCCGCCTCCGCCTCCTCCTTCTCCTCCTCCGCCTCCTCCCCGTCCTGATTGTCCTCCTCCGTCTCCTCGTCCTCGGCCTCCTCGTCCTCCTCCGCCTCCGCCTTCCCGACCTCCTCCTCCTCCACCAGCTGTGCTTCCGCCTCCTCCACCTGGTCCTCCTCCGCCTCAGCCTCCGCCTCCGCCTCCGCCTCCTGCTCCTCCTTCCCCTCTTCCGACTCATCCTCCTCCTGGTCCTCCTCCGCCTCCTCTTCTCCTGGTCCTCCGCCTCCTGCCGTCCTCCTCCCCGGGCACACGCGAATATGAATCAGGCACTCGTGGATCCAGCGCGTGGGCGCCAGATATCCACGCGCCTTGTTGCACGTTTCCCTACATCAACATGCGCCTCCCCCTCCCCCTCCGCCTCCGCCTCCGTCTCCTCTTCCGCCCCCTTCCTTCAGCCCCCTTCCTTCCGCCCCCCTCCGTCCCCCTCCCTCCGTCCGCCCACCCTCCTGCGCTCCCCCCCCCCCCCATCCTCCTCTTCCGTCTCGATTCCCTTCGGGGGCCCTGTTAGATTTTTGTTTGGGGTCTCTTTGGCCGTCTAGGGCATGTCTTTGGGTCCTCGCTGCGGCGGCCACAGCCACGAGAGAGGCGCTGCGGCGCCAGGGTCTCTTCCTCCCCGGCAGCACGACGAAACCAAAGCGTGACTCTCAAGTCCCGCCAGCCCTATGGGCGACAGGCGGTCAAAAAGATATTTCTTTCCTCTTCCACAACCCCTTTTTCTCCTTCGGGGAGGGGTTTATCATTATTTTTAATAGTATACACCCCCTCCTCCAGGCGACCGGTGGCCAACCAGGCACTATGCCGACACCATGCCGACCCGCCCCCCACCATCCCTGCCAAAAAACAATACAAACCGCAGTCTGCCTCCACATTTGGAGCATGCGCAGCCAACCCAATGTACCCCCCTCCATCCCTGTCAAAAAAACAATGCAAATTATACTTTGGACAAAGTCTTGAGTCATGTTCGTGGGCCCGCGAGCACTTTGTATTGTTTTTGGCAGGGACGACCAGGGGTGTCAGCATATTCCCTGCTGCGCGCAGGGCTACAATCCTTTACAACAAAAAAGCACCACAACATACACCTCGCGGCTAAATCTGGATCGTCTGCGGCCATCCCGCGATCGCTGTCAAGTGGCTTTTGACAGGGACGGCAGGGGTGGTGACGCGTGGCCTGCTTTGCGCAGGCCCACCAGACACAGTGATGGGCATCGGTTTTAGACAAGGATGGCGGGGGCCGACATTTTCCACGATGTGTGCTGTCACGTGCGTGGGCGCACCTGACGCACTCTGCACGTGCCCCGAACGCGGCGCACCTGGCGCGGCTGGAGTGCGCGGCACACCTGGCGCACTCGGAGCACGTGGCGCATCTGGCGCACCAGGCGTGCCTGGCACGCTCGGGCCCCGGGGGTGTCTGGCGCGCGTGGCGCCCCTGGCACGCGTGGCGCACCTCGCCCAGGCGTCGCGCACCTGGGGTCGGCTTTGGTTCCCAGTAGCTGTCCATCCAAAGACGACCGCTGAACATGCTCAGGCCCAAGACAGATCCTCGAAGGGCCCAAGAGGCCCCCAAGACGGCCCCAAGAGCGCCCAAGATCGCCCCCAGAGGGCCCCAAGAGCGC